CTCAGACCACGCCCTCTCGCCCCTCATCCACAGTTGAGGCCACGCCCTCACACCCCTCATCCAGGCACAGTTCAGACCACGCCCTCACGCCCCTCCCCCAGGCACAGCCACTGCCTTCATCCTAAAGGTGCTCCCTGGCGCCACTTTGATGCCAGGCCCTGGGGAGACCTGTAGGTACAGAGCCCACGTCCTCCCTAGAGGTGGAGTACGCCCTCTGCTCCGAAGAAGCTGTCCTTCTTCCTCCTTAAACGCCTTTTGCGACCTCCCTCCGCCCACCGACCCATCTCTGCTCTTCAGCAAAGCTTCTGCCAAGCTGGCCCCTCCCTGGCTACCTCTCCTGCCACCAGCCACTCCCACGTTTTAAATACAGGAGTGGTTTCTCAGACATTTTCCTTTTTTCTTTCTTTTTTCTTTTTTTTTGCGACAGAGTTTCACTCTTGCAGTCCAGGCTGGAGTGCAATGGCGCAATCTCAGCTCACTGCAACCTCTGCCGTAATGGCTTACGGAGTTCAAGCCAGTCCTCCTGAGTGGCTGAGATTATAGGTGCCCGCCACCACGCCCAACTGATTTTTGTATTTTTAGTAGAGATGGGGTTTCACCATGTTGGTCAGGCTGGTCTCAAACTCTTGACCTCAGGTAATTCACCCTCCTCGGCCTCCCAAAGCACTGAGATTACATTTTCTTATCAGACCCCTACTGAAAAGGCTCACACATCCCCCACCCCAGCTCTCCAAATCTCCCATCCCACCCCCTCCTGGTCTGCAGCTTTTAAAAGTGCGGAGCCCTGGCCTCGACCTTTGGACCACTTCACAACTCCAGCTCACATGGCCCTGCTGAGCTCCTGACGGAGGCTCACCGGCCCCAGGCGTCCTCCTAACCAGCGTCAACTAACCTCTTCCCCACCTTGGTGGCATCCACTCCATCTTTCTGGGTCATCAAAGTCCCCCTGGTGGCTCCCATCACTCCTGGAGGGAAAGCCTGCTCCTCTGCCCCGGTCTCTCGGCCTCCCTGCTGCCCCGGCCTCCGGGCCTCCCTCCTGCCCCGGCCTCCCGGCCTCCCTCCTGCCCCGGCCTCCGGGCCTCCCTCCTGCCTTGGCCTCCCGACCTCCCTGCTGCCCCGGCCTCCCGGTCTCTCTCCTGCCCCCGCCTCCCGGCCTCCCTGTTGCCCCGGCCCCATGTCCAGAGCTGTGGCTTTGTCTGGCGTCCAGCCTGGCAACGTGGCCTGGACACTTCCTGATGGGCAGGGAAGAGCAGGGTTTCACCCTGGTGGGGCCGTGCTTGGAAGGGGTCACTGGCACCCGCAGGACTTCCTGGCTGGCATTCTGATCTGAGGAGGCAGCAAGGCCCGGTCCTTGATGCCACTGCCCACAGCAAGCAGGACTGCCCCTCGGTTGTGTCCTTTCCTGCCATGGGACACCTACCCTTGGGCCTGCCCCACCCAACGCCCCTGGAGGACACTTTCTAACCAGAGACACCCCTCCTAGGACAGGCCCTCAGCACTGGCCTACCCAGGAGATCCCTGCTGCCGGGTAGGGGAGCCTCTGTCCCTGAAGCCAGTCCCAGGGCCGTGGCCACAGCCCCAGTCCCAGTGAGGGAAGGTGGGGGGTGGGGCTGTATTCTCTGTGGGGTTGGGAGAGAGACGGCGGCCTCAGTGGACAGTCCTCCCCAGTGTTGGACTTTGTTCAGCCCTAATCCCAGTGAAGGGGGGTGGGGGCAGATGCAGGTTCTGAAAGGCTCCAGCCCTGGGCTGCAGGCAAGGAGTCTGCCCGAAAAGTCCCAAAAGCCTCCCCCAGGACCCGCTCTGGCCTCCCCTCCACTCAGGAGATCTGCAGAACGAAGGCCTGGTACGCCCAGTCCCTGGGACCCGCCTCTGGGCAAATGGGCAGATCACTGGGGGGTTCCCAGGTCCTCTGCCCCAGCCTGCACCCCTGAGACCACCCCCCGAAGGCAGAGGGTGCTTCCTGAGGCACAGATAGGCTGGCCAGCTGGCGGTGGTGTCACTGTGACGCCCGGCCACAGACACAGGGTGTGTGCTCCAGAATCTGCTGACCACTCCCTTCCGGATCCCGGCCGAGGGCTGGGCCCCTCCAGGCACCTGGCACGCAGGGAATGAGT